CAATATAGGTTACTTGTTGCAACCCAATCACCAGCGGATTTTCCAAGTCTAACTTTGCATCTGCTCATCTTTTAAGCGAAACGTCAAGAAAGTTAAATGAATCCTCTGATTCACTTTTTATAATGAACTTGATGTTAGGATAACATTGGTTTAACGTTTCCAAAAGGACTTTCGCTTGTTGGACGGTGTTAGATCACACTGAATATGCTCTGAAGAGTCAATCGAGGCTGAATTACGATACATTGAATTTAACCTACGCAATAACGGCTATCCTAATAAATTCATCGCCAGGTATGTGAAGGAGGTTGCTAAGAAAGAAATACGAACGAATGTCCCAAAGGAAAAGGTCTTCAGCACGCTACCATACAAAGGGGAACAAAACGACAGAAGATTGTGCTACCGAGTAAGCCAAGCCATAAATTGGTGCTACTACACAGCTGAGTTCATGTTGTTACCTCAAACCAAGAAGCTGTTCCTTGAATCCAACTTGGATAGGCCTCACTCTCAGGTTACCGCCTCATGTGTTTACTAATTCGCCTGTACTTGAGGTAGCGTATACATTGGCCGAACCGAGAGAAGGCTATCAACTAGGATCATGGAACATGTTCCACGGAACCTGGCAACTAGTTGACCTAAACTCCCTGCCAGCTCCCTAGCTCAGCATCTGCTAGATTGTAACTTGTGCGGAAACCCACGTGACGCACTCAAGGTTATCTGCAGACAAAACAACGCAATATTGTTTCCTTTCGCTGAAGCCTCGGCCATCCGAAGAATGAAACCAAAACTTTGCAAAGAGGATGCCCTTGTGGCCAGTCTTGCCTTGCCCTTGTAAGACCCAAGCTTTGACCATGATTTTCTCAGTGGGCTACTGATTTTCCTATTGACCCCCTTTTCAATTGCATTCCTTTACGCTTTGCACGGTTTGTCTGTAAGGGGCTGTATGTGAAGACACGAAATAATCTGAATTCAGGTTATCCCGCATAAATGCTTTTCGTTCTTGCTCACCTTAAATGGCTGAATGAACAAATGGTTCATAACGAGCTTTGCTAATTGTACGTGGCCGTTCAAACAATTGATGACGATGTTTAGGGACGTGGTGGGTTTTCGCCCGGGAAGTGTTCTCCCTATAGAAGCTATAAACATCCGTTCATCATTGCGTTGACACGGGGAGGTGTCTCGCCACGGAACATGTACAGTGCGCACTGTCACACATGGAATAAAGACCAGAGTCATTTTCCAATATTTTGCTGACACGTAAAACAAAGCTGCTCTTAGCCTTCACAGACACTCCCCACTCCACATTCAGTGCTTTCTCGATTTACGCTACACACACCTGAAACCAATTTATTGGCACCTCTTTTATGACTTTGCTCCTCATGATGCCTCGACCTTCTCGGCCAAGCTTACAACTATTGGCCATACCCAATTACGCGTTGTAACCTATTTGTTGCACAACATAATTGCTTGTAAATGTTGCTCATGTCTTAGTTGGTGTACCTCGATGAATTCGAGAGTAATATATGTATTTATTTGTTCCTTTATGTGTGGTGATGGAGTCATTACGTGTTGTCGTCCGAGTCCAGAAGGACGAAATGTGTACTCCATTCGGTTCTTAGAGCAGCAAAGATATAAGCACAAAATACACAGCTACATACACACAGTTAAACACTTACCTGCCCCTTACAGATACATACACTCTTATGGCAAACATATTGGGTTTTGCACATACGTGCTCACGCGTTATTATGTCAAAATGCTCATGCGTGTATAGACGTGTCTCGCCCTGTCAAAAATAATAGATCTATTTTATTAACTTAGACTATGTGGCACCGACCAATGGATAAGGCTACCATGTTTTGGTCGAGGCATTCACTAAGTGGCCTGGTGTGGTTCCGGTAAACTATCCGACGGCCCAGCTCACTGACAACGAGCTGGCTATGTGATTCCGTTATTTCGGCCCGCCAGAGATATCAGTGATAGACAATAGCACACAATTCGCCACAAATTCGTTTCGCGAGTAGTGCAAGGAAAAAATTCAGCAGAAGTCCTCAACGCCATATCATCCGTAATCAAACGGACAGGGAAAAATGTTCGTGGATACGTTCAAATATGCAGTATGTAAAGCAGGGTAAAGCAGGGGTTAACAGAATGCAATTCCATCTTTCCTATGCATGTATAGGAACGCTGCGAACCTAACTGCCACTGATGGGCAATCACCCACAGTAGTATTATTTAAAAGAAAAATATGGATGTTGTTCGCTAATCTTCTAACAAGGAGAATAGAAAGGCAGTGCATTAGTCACCGGGAGGAAGCTCACAAAGTCAGGCTCCGTAACTTCTATCATTGTAAGATGGTTTACGGCCGGGATTTTCGCTGGCCGAAGGGGTGGTGGAGTGGAATTATTACCTGCTGGAAGGGCAGAGTTATTTTCGAAGTGATGGTTGAACTTGAGCGGTGGGTTAGACGCGACAACCAGTTTCGACCGAACCGTGGTAAAACCGATGTACCTCACCAACCACCAAATTTTATTTGGGACATTCCACTTGAGATGTTCGGGCTGGAAGTTGAGGGTCAGCAACCCGGTGAGAAATAACAAATGCTGCAAAAAGCAGGTGCGCAAGGCTAGGAATTGCTGCATACCACAATGGCAGCAAACCTATCACCGGATGAAAAGCTACTAACGCAACCAAGTTCAATGGGTTGCGAGCTTACTCAATCCGGAAATGAGGTGACATTGGGGCGGGGAAGCTAATGGCGAACACGCGCGTGTTCGCCACAGTACGTGCTCAGGACAGACTTTGTAAGCGTGTTGTCAGGGCCAGCCGAATGCTGATGAAACCGCGCATCAGACGCCTTGCGTGTTGCAGAAAGCTGTTGAACTCGCTCATCGGACATGATGTGTGTTTTTATTCCTGGGGTAAACGGATGAAGACCGGAGTGGCCGAGCAAGACGGTGAACTGGCCAGATGGCGCGGATAATCCAGTGTAGAACGTAGGCGTACGAGGAAGCGGGTAGTCACAGTTGCCAGTCGAGGATCGGTGGATTGGTATTGTCGCTCTGTATGTATGGGCGTCCTCGGTACTTTTACTACACTGGTCAGCTAAGTCAGCTTCTTTTTTGCTTCCTGTCAGGTTTGCCAAAACGTCAGGCAGGGTAGGCATAAGGGCGCAGATTTACCAGCAGGCGACAACCAACCGGTCGGTTGCAGCTACAGCATTATAAGGTTACCCACACATTTGCACTCAAATATTCCCTGACTACACCTATTGTAGCGAGAACGACACGGTAGGGGAGAACGCTGTTTATTGCACGCCGAGAGGTTTACACACATGTCCCACGCACACACATAAATATAGCCGCGTTTCCCACTTACGACGCACCACGTTCCGCCGCGTGAAGTGGTGTCCACTAAGCGCCATTTGGCTGATCCGACATGGACATTGAATGTCCCGTTTTCCGCCCACATTTCTGCTCCCTTGCGTCGCAGCCTATCCAGACTGGATTCGTACCAAAGCTCTCGACTTGCTTGCTCGGGGCTGTGTTGCTCTGGTCGGGCCGATTTCTGGGGCCGTAGATACCGGCATATCTCTTGGGAAAATCGGGCTCCCTTTGATGTCGCCTCTTGTTCTTTCCGGCGTGGCCGCGGTATCGTTTGTCGCTGACGACCCATTCCCGGATTGCATCGTAGGCCACGAGCTGGGTTGACGATTCCCGTTCCCATTCTCCGCGTTAGTTCCCATCTCCTGCTGCTTCCGGGGCAATTCCGTGTGAACTGAGATCCGCGCCCCTACACCCGCCCCCTCTCGAAAACCTGTTTCCCTCGTATACCATGGGCGTAGAAGTGATGCGTTTACCCAGCGTTTCACCACCCCGTTGTCGACACGGCAGCTCGTCCCTTTTTGGTCGATCACTGTATAGGGACCTTTCCAGCGTTGGTTGAACTTGCTCGCGCCGGGTCCTTTGTGTGACGGTGGATCGTTATTGCGTAGCTTGACTTGGTCTCCTGGGTTGAATGGTCTCCATTTGTCTGCCGCATATCTCGCATCATAGTTCCGCTTGTTGCGTAATTGCCGAGCCCTCGTCTCCCTTCTAGCTGTTGTTATCAGCCTTCGGTGTTGTAGGGCTGGATGTTCGCGCTCGCTGTCGATTGCCAAATAGGTGTCGATTGCAATCCTTGGTTCTCTGCCGAATTGCAATTCAAACGGTGAAACCTTGGTGCTTGATTGCATGCTGGTTCGATAAGCCAGCAGCACCTCCGGTAACGCTTCCTCCCACGGTACCTTTGTGCAATTCATCCATGTTTTCATAGTTCGGTTAAACCGTTCTGTCATCCCGTTGGTCTGCGGGTGGTAAGGCGACGTGCGTTTTCTCCGGATGCCCCATTTGGCCAGCATGGCCTGGAACGCTTTTGATTCAAAGCAGGGACCTTGGTCGGTGATAACGCTGTGCGGTATTCCATACCTCGCCGGTACGTTGAATTCGAACGCCTGTGCCACGGTCTCGCCTGTTTGATCTTTAATTGGTATCGCTTCGACCCAACGAGTGAAATGATCAATCATCACCAGGATGTAGGCGTTACCCGATCGGCTCAGCGGCAGCGGTCCAAATATATCTAGTCCCCAGCAGTGTAGTGCCTCGCTGATTTCAATCGACTTCATTGGCGGTCTGGGTGCATCCATCTCACGGCTTGTTTGACAGTTTGGGCACCCCCGGATATATACCGCAACGTCCCTCCTCATGGTTGGCCAGAAAACTCGTCTCCGCAGCAAGTCAAAAACTCTCTCAAATCCCATGTGTGCGCTGTCATGGACCATTTGAATCACCCGCTCCCGCTGACTTTGTGGGATAAAAGGAAGTCTCATTCCGTTTGTCTGCACCAGCAAATTACCGTTTACTGTGCACAGCCTGTCCCAGATCCTGACGAGATCCTCCATTTCCCCCGATGTGGCATTCGGTTTGGTACCCAATTGTAAATGGCTACACAGCGACTGCACCAGTTCATCCTTCCTTTGAATTTCGAGTAGCGTGTCCCTCCCAACTGTGACTGCACCCACCGGTATCGCAGTGTCAGGTATGGCGTCGTCCAACAACGGTCGCGACAGCATATCCGGTAGCACATTCTTCGTCCCATCCACGTGTCCGATGGTGAAGGTAAATTCTTGAAGTCGATATGCCCATCGTGCAAGACGTCCTCGCGGATCCTTCGTTGTCATCAACCATGAGAGCGGTTTGTGGTCCGTCAAGACATGGAATTCATTCGCCAACAGGTATGTCCTCCACTTCTCCAGAGCCCATACCATAGCTAGACATTCCTTCTCTGTTGTTGAGTACTTCTGTTCGGCACTCGTCAGCACTCGACTGGCATATTCTACGACCCCCGATGGCTGGGAAAGTACCGCACCGATTGCGACGTCGCTAGCATCAACTGCCACCGTAAATTTTTCACTCGGATTGGGTAACCGCAAGCACTTTGGAGATTCCGCCATGCATGTTTTGATGTGATTGAATGCTCCCTCTGCCTCGGTTGACCACATGAATGGTTGATCCTTCTGCAGCAACTTCAATAATGGACTGATGGTCTCTGCAAAGTGAGGGACGAATTTTGAATCATATGCCACAACTCCCAGGAAGGAACGAAGCTGGCGTTTGGATTTAGGGGCTGGAAAATTCTGGATCGTTTCCCGTTTCTCTGGCAGCGGTTGGATTTCACCGTTCCCCACGATGTGACCCAAGCACACGATCGACCTCTGGGCTATCTGTGATTTCTTACGGCTAAGCTTCAAACCGGCTTCCTCCAGTCGTTGTAGTACGGCCGCGAGTCTGCTACCATGCTCATGTTCGGTTTCGGAGAATATCACGATGTCGTCTCCGTAAACTACCACTCCTTGGAGGTTTTCCAAAATCATTAGCAGCAGTCGTCTGAATGTGGCGGGGGCATTGCACAACCCAAATGGCATTCTCAAAAATTCGTACTGCTGACCGTTTACACTAAAAGCTGTTTTGTGACGATCCTCCTCTGCAATGGGCAACTGCCAATATCCCGAGCGGAGGTCTATTAACGAGATCAGCTTGGCGTTGTGCAGACTGGAAAAAATTTCCTCCATCTGTGGCATCGGAAACGCATCCTTCACAGTTACTTTGTTCAGCTCTCTGAAATCAATGCAGAATCGGTATGTACCGTCAGCTTTCCTTGTCAACAACACTGGCGACGAATACGGGCTGCTTGCGCGCCGAATAATGCCTTTTGCCTCCATCTCTGCCACTTGCCTCTGCACCTCAGGTAGGATCTTTGGCGGAATTCTCCTGAATATTGGTTTACATCGTCCCCCTGGGACCAGCGGTATCCGATGTTCCATCCAGTTACAGAAGCCGTATTCGTCATTCGCGTCCGTGAACAAGTGCGCGTACCTCCCTAGCTTTTCCCGTATTGTACGACTTGAGCAATTAGGCAAAACAGATACGGCCCCAACTCGAGCACTTTTTCCTGCGTTAAGGTTGATTGCTTCGCCGCCCAGGAAAATCACATCCTTTCCCAGATCAATTCTAGCGCCCAGTCGTTTTAGGATATCATTACCGATTATTGTTTCCGTTTCACCCTCCACAACGAACATTAAATGGCTAATACACGTCTCTCCTATTCTCAATTGTAACCGTTGCACGCCCGCTACCTTCAACTGATGGCCTCCGACCGTTTGCAACGAGACTGACGATTGGTCTAAGGGAACCGCATCACATCTTTTTGTAATTGACGCCCCCGCCCCTGTATCTACTACCGCTCGAACTGGCATCCCCTGAATTATGACGTCTACCACAGGCACCCTCCACTTATTAGGAATGAATAAGGAAAAACAATGAGAAAGGTTTGCGTTCGTACAGTATCTAGCCAGATGGCCACTGCGGTTGCACCGAAAACAGCGACGGCCATTTCGGCTTCCATAGACATTGTGTTGCGTTTCCATCCTTGGTGTATTTCCCGACAATAAACTCTGCACCATCTGTGTCAGTTGGTCCACCTTGCGTTCAAGTTCCGACGGTTTGATTCTGGCCATGGTCAACGGCTCCGCCAAACTCTGCGCCACTGTCACAAGCTCCTCCGCTTTGATCACCCCGACCATCGATGCCAGCTTCACTTGATCCTGGAGGGCTTTCGGCAGGCTCTGAATCAATTGTCCTTTCAATAGTCTTTCTTTGGCGGCCGCATCTAATTCGGGTAGCCCAATCGTCAAGTTCCTATCCAGTTGCTGGAAAAATGTCATCAAATCGTCCTGTTCTTCCCATTTTGCTGAGTGAAATTTTTCCAGGGCCTTCTGTCGGTCTATCTCCTTTGCAAACTCCGCGCACAACGCTGCCTTTACTTCGTTAAACGAGCACCCAGCTTTCGACTTCCGCGCCAGCAGGTACGTCGCTTTTGCTCTTCCGGATAACAGCGTGCCCAAGGCCGTAAGCAGGTTTGCATCCCCTTTAAGTCCGTTGCAAGCCGCGATCCCTTCGAACTCATCCAACCAAGCCTCCGCGTCTCCCCCCGAAAATTGAGCAGGCCACGGCACTTTCATCCTGGTCACGGCACCAGTGTAGCGAGAACGACACGGTAGGGGAGAACGCTGTTTATTGCACGCCGAGAGGTTTACACACATGTCCCACGCACACACATAAATATAGCCGCGTTTCCCACTTACGACGCACCACGTTCCGCCGCGTGAAGTGGTGTCCACTAAGCGCCATTTGGCTGATCCGACATGGACATTGAATGTCCCGTTTTCCGCCCACATTTCTGCTCCCTTGCGTCGCAGCCTATCCAGACTGGATTCGTACCAAAGCTCTCGACTTGCTTGCTCGGGGCTGTGTTGCTCTGGTCGGGCCGATTTCTGGGGCCGTAGATACCGGCATATCTCTTGGGAAAATCGGGCTCCCTTTGATGTCGCCTCTTGTTCTTTCCGGCGTGGCCGCGGTATCGTTTGTCGCTGACGACCCATTCCCGGATTGCATCGTAGGCCACGAGCTGGGTTGACGATTCCCGTTCCCATTCTCCGCGTTAGTTCCCATCTCCTGCTGCTTCCGGGGCAATTCCGTGTGAACTGAGATCCGCGCCCCTACACTATGGGCATACGCAATCTTGGCGATGCACATTGACCATATTGCGGTTAATAGAAAATTAACATTAAAGAACCATAGGATAGCAGACCGCAGAAAGTAGATCCTCATTAGCTGCGAGGTTTATTAATCCTTACAGGATTGAGCCGACCATTGTGGGTCAGAGCTCCAGCAGTGAGCTGAAAGAACGCACGCAGTTCTCTTCTGAGCTTTTCTGTAACGGCACGTTGTGCAATTTAACTCTTCACGGCGGCGGAAAGCGTGCAAAAGGAAAGGTGGTTGATTAAATACCCAACCAATTTGACTTTGTCAACTTCCTGCCAAATTATCGCTTCTAAGTGTGTAGAATTCGGCAACGTAATTTTACGTTTCGCTATAATTCCGTCTAACTGCACCATGCGTATAGTCTGGTGCAGCATTGATAGCGACTTTGTCAGTGTCTAAAACGCAATGCCTTTCAAGTCATTGTTGTTTCGTTTGTTTCGTATTTAGCAGTGGCTAGCAAAAGGTGTTTCCAACTGAGCCTTTACCACTTCATTCTACATACCGCCAAGCCCAAGGTCTTACGCTTCTGATTAATATCGGCTGTGGTCTATACCATTACATTGCTCTCGGCCATTCCGGGGACTACAGCAGAAACCTTGATCAGAATTCTTTACTGTCATGAACCGTTAAGATAAAACATTTTAACGTTTGAAACATTTTACAAGAGCTTTACCTCCAGGCAAGCGTTTAACTTACGTGCAGTAATTCTTCCTATTGGACCGGCGTGCGAAACCCTCCCGGTCTATGATTACTCTGCTTGGACACCTACACTGCGAATGAAATAGCTGACGCTTACTATTCTGGGTTTCTTTCCCACCTGCTCGACTCTGCATCTCAATCTACGTAGCCATAGCGCCGTCTAGTGCCGCTCGTTCTGACCGTTACGGGTGTATCTTGACTAGCATTTTGCTCAGACAACGAAAAAATTGGGTGCACCAGGGCTTCAGTTAGCTGTGCGCAAAGGCGATGGTGGCTCATTGCTGTTCAACGTTTGGTCACCGGCCGCGTTTCGGCGTGTGGTGGGTATTTGCCGGGCAAGCAATCTCCTTATAAAAGCCACAAATATCCGCGCAACAACAAGGCGACTTGGCGTCAAAACACAGTAATAGCTAGGAGGATGTCAGTTGCAAAGAAGAGCACGAGGTGAAGTTCGTCAAGACCAAAGGTGCAAGCAACCATCAGAAACACGAAGCTGTACCTAACTCAAGACAGATAAACAGAGCAGGAACAACTGCTCAAAAGAAAGGAATCCACGCGAATTCCGGAGTAATCAGAAAAGAACAATCAACTAGCACGCAACAGTCACCTGATTACCATAAACTTGACGGAAAGGCACAACGGTACACTTCTCGTTTGGATTCCTAATGACCAAGGTTTCCATGAGCAAATGGTCTGCACACTCTGATAAAGTTCAGCGAGATCTCAATCTCACTTCTGAATATCATCTTGGAAAATACATAATTCTCATTTCAGTTCCGCTCTCTGAAAACTGTTTTCAATATGAAAATAAAGCCAACACATACAGTGGCAGGTGGTTCGCCCCACGGGAGGGACCTTCCTGGTCCTGAAAGGTGTTTTTCTCGTTGACCACGTCAAAAATAGCCTAGCTGTGAAGAGTTGCGCACGCACGTGACAAGCAAAGAAACGACTCCACCTATTGTGGATTTTCAAGCAGTACAAAACTGCGGGAGCTTGAAGAATCCAAATCCCCCTTCTTCCGACACCACAGGTATAAAATCATTTTGAGTATTACTTGCAACATGCACAGTTTTATAAATAAGGAAGGTGAAATTCACTTTATATTTATCAGTAGCAACCGGATATAAATACGCTTACTGACAAGTGGCTGCCATCAGTCGACTTTGGCTCGGAGTTTCATGTTCCAGTGTATAAGTTTCCGCAATGCAATCGCTCTGGTTGTAGGCCACGATGCGTAGCATTAATATGCTTGATGATCTAACTCTAATTTTACATTTCCATTTGCATCCCACTGGTCAGCCTTCCTGTTTCACTTACCAATAATTCGGATGCTTATACTCACACATGTTTGCGTACTCTTATTAAACATATATCCGTTTAAAAACACTGACGTGGCGGATGTGATTCGCCACAAAATAAATTCACAGCCCCTTTGATTTCCGGATATTGCTATCCAAACTACGGACAACAATCGTTTATCCTCGCATTCCTGATGGTAAAAACGAACTACAAGACAGCAACCCACTTACATGCCCAAGGTACACAGCCATATATTTAACAAGCACCTTTGTATGTCTACCCTACACGTACATTCACCGTTATATAAAACCTATATTTTGGTACATGTTTGACCACGCCTTGTAATATTAACGTGCTCATGCCTGTAAAGGTGTGCCTTGTGTTATCAAAGATAAGCAGTTTATTTAACTATCTATTCAACCTTTATTATCAGCACAGTACTAACTTTGTAGCTTATCAAAATTCACCTTACATTTTCACGTTCCGGCATGTAATCTATTCCGAACTTTGCAAAACGCCGTTTCCTGTAAAAGTTTGAACATGCCCGGTTTAGCGTGCTGTGAAACATTCAAGAATAAAACTGTTATTTAGTTATTATTTATTGCCGAATATCAGTGTGACAGCAATGATATGTCACAAATTCCCTGTGTTCGAATTCATGTAAGATAGTATGTACGCTGGGTCAGAGTGGTCTACGGAGGCCCTTCAAGTCTGGCTCACACTTAATGCACTCTGCGAGATTCAAGAGCAAAAGAACCAACGCTCGGTTTATGGGCGAATTTACCAACACTGGCATCACGCAGGATCTTATTCTGATTGCTGTCTTACTGGGGCATGCAACGGCATGCTCATGATCGTACGAACGCGAATGGTAGCCAAACGTAGAAAAGGTCGCAAGTTAACCAACAACACGTTCAATTAAGGAGTTTTGATGCATTTGTAGGTGCATTTGTAAGTGGGCATTATGAGAAAGTTTGCTAAGGTGAGTCTGAATTGTGGTTTTCTTCGCTGCCTTCATCATCACGTGAAGAGACCAAAGGAACTCTACGAACTGGGTGATGTTAGAGAAATGTGAAAGATCCTCCAAAAAGGTAGGTGGCACGGACTTTATTTAGTGGAGAAGCATATCCTTCAAGTCGTAAAGTTGTTAAGCGTGGCTTTGCGGCGTTTTATTGGGCGAACACTTGCCAAGCGGAAAACCACCGGATATTGCCATCCAAACTACGGACAACTATCGTTTATTCTCACATTCCTGATGATAAAAACAGACCAAAAGACAGCAACCCACTTATATGCAAAGGATACACAGCCACACATATAACAATTACTTACGCATATCTACCCATACACCTACATTCACCGTTATATAAAACATGTATTTTGGTACATTGTTGACCACACTTGACCACACTGGTACACTGTCGCCGAACCATTCGCTGGAAGATGATTAACCCGAAGCACCGGGTGGCACTATTTGGAGGTTGTTCGGCTAACCAGCCAGCCAATTATTGTCCCTTTGAGCCTATGTTTTCTTTTTCAGCTTTGAGTTGTGTAAATACTCTTTACCCCATTACATTTAAGCCGTCTTGCCTGTCATACCGCTACGGCTTTCTGACGACTTACACATAATCGCAGCAGCGCCACCGGAAAATTCACTCCGTTCATATCGGTAGACTTGTACCGCTTCTTCATTCGTTATTGGCAACCGCTTTTGCATTTTTGCCCAACCGCTCCATGCTAACTCTGTCACATTCTGACTTCAATCCCTTTTAATTGCTTGAGCGCCTATGAAGCATTATACCTAGTTTTGCACAAGCCATATAGAAGCATCAATTTGAGCAATGTTGGATTGTTTTAATTCTTCAGCTACGTATTGGATGGTGTTTTGGCTGCTGTTGATCGTTGAAAGTCCTCTGAAATCTCCAGAAATCCCCACTGACACCCGTGGGGCCGTGCTTTGACATTCAGCATTGAGGTTTCAACACCACACAAGGATCGTAGCCATTTTCCTCACGAGACATTTGGTTTCATTTCCTAGATATCCGTTGGTAGTTATCCTGCTACAATTTACTGCTAAGGAAGGATTACATGGTCTCTAGCTTAGAAAGTTGATTCCAACATTATAACTGCCCATATTAGTTACGTGGAGTTGTGTTCGTGGACAACACAGCGATTTTTAATTCGAGTATGTATAAGAGACTTAGTTGACATTGTTAAGTACGCTTTGGGAAGAAAACCGATCTGACTACATGAGATCTGCGTAACCGGGTTCTGCCTCCTCTTTCCTACAAGAACAATTTTATCTTATACTTAGTTGGAGCTCAACAGAAGGTATTCCCTAACTTTTTACCCGACCACGGCTAATAGTTTCTTGAACGATGCTATAAACCACATTGAGTGGAGTTCCGTTTCCATTTCTAAAACGGCGAAAACAACCAAGTTCGGTCCATCGATTTTAACGTGAGGAAGTGGTGACTTTTCGCCTGGCAAGGTATCTCCCTACAAAAAGCCAGCAATTGCTGTTCCACAACAATGGGACGTGGCGGATGTGACTCGTCAGTCAATAAAGTCACTGCATCTACTACGCAATAGAGAGCTGAAATATGCCGTATTTCACAAGTTCTGTGCATATATCTTCTCATTAAAGTACGCCTACGTGCTTGATCCGTGACATGCCACTATTCCTTAAACCTTTTCACAACCTTTTTCTTATGTTCTACTCTTCTGACCTACACCATGTACCCAACCTCATCGGACCAGTTCCTAAACCAACTTACTCCACTTCAGTACACTCTATAGTCCTGATCGTTACATTTCGCACCCCGCAAAAATAAACTTCAAATAATCTTGGGCCATTTAGTCCTACATTAATAACTTTATCTATATTACT